GGTTAATGTGTGTCTTAGTGTGGGTAAGAATAGGTTTAATCCATTTGGTATAGATTAATTAAGTTTAAGAAGGTTAGAAACCCTAAGTGAGCAAAATCTCTAATGTTATGATTTATTAGAAGTTTTAAGTGGGTTTAAACCTAATTTTGCCCTTGACAAAAAGGTTATTGTTTAACTACTTGTAGACACCAAATTTTTAATAATTTTATGTAGCATCTATTTCATGATTTTCATTTTAGATTGCTTGCATTTTAGTTCGTTATTGTGTGTTTTGCACTATTAGTTGTTATGATATTTTGATTTTATTCATTTTCGCCCTTTTAGTTGACCTATTTCATTTGCTATTTATTCTTATTTACTTTTAGTTTTAGTTTTTAGTTTTAGCTTTTAAGATTAAGATTAGCATAAAGTTTTTAGAAAAAAGGAAAGGAAAACGTCAAAAATATGTTTTAGTCATTTTGTTTTTATTCAATGCTTTCTCGAAAGAAAAATGAAAATGAAAATTATAAAAAAAAAAGGAGAAAAGAGAAAATTAAAGGAAAAGAAGAAAAAGAAGAAAAATTTAAAAAAATAAAAATAAAAATAAATAGGCTTTAGTTGGATTTGAAAAATGAAAAAGGAAAAAAAGGAAAATTTGCTCACAAAAATATGTTTATTTCTTTTAAATTCAGCTTTTTGGCATTTTTAAGTTATTTTTAAAAGAAAAAAGTGAAAGTGAAAAATGAGAAAAATGAAAAAATGGAAAATTGCATTTTTGTTGTTTTTAGTTTATTTTTATCTAATGTTAATTAAGTTGTTTTCATCATTAATTATTATTGTTTTATTATTATCATTTTTGTTGTTTAATTAATTAATTTAAAAAATTAATTTAAAAAAAAAAAAAAAAAAAAGAACAACGTCACGGCATGCACGCTGCAATTTTTTGCAGCGTGCAAAGGACAATCTCAAGAGCCATCGGATGGCTGGATGGAAAGGGAAGGATAAGCTCTTCATCCTCACCATCCGAGAGAGGGTTTACGGATTGGAGCTCATATAAAAAGGAACAAGAATCAGCAGCCGGAAGAAGGAGGGAGATAGAGAGCACGGCTGGAAAAATTCTGAGGCAAAACAGAAATCAGAGAGAAGGCAGCCGACAGAGAGAGTTTTTTTGGGGAGATAGAGAGAGGGATAGGATCGGAAAAGAAAGACCAGAGAAAGAGAACGGATGACAACGGAGAGAAAAGTTTTGAGAGTGGCGGCTGAAAAATCTTGAGAAAGTAGAGAGTGTGTATGCGAGACGGTAAAAGAGAGAAAACAGCAAAAGAAAAAGAGTCTGACTTAGGGTTGCAAGAGGATGACTGAATCATCATCATCGCGTTCCGTTGGCGTGACTTTGAAGTTCTGGTAGAACCATCCGAACCTTTTCTCGGGCATCCCTCGCCTCGCTTGGTGATTAAGGTATTATCTTCATCTTTTATCAGTTAGATACCATCAGATTTGGCTCAGAAATGTTGAGATATTTCCTGTTACGTTTTGGGTCGTTTTTCTCTTTCCTTCATGGTTGTTCCTCCTGTGCATCCAGTTGTTCAAATCTGTTTGAGATAGAAAATCAGTGAGTAGTGGACAGGGACAGCAACTTGGATTTCTTCGTGAGGTTATATCATGAATTCGTGAGCTCATGACTGACCCACATGTGTTTGAATCAGCAAAATCAGAATATGACATGAATTTTTGGCAGTATTTCCTGTTTGACTTGCAGTAGTTTTGGAGGTCCTTGTTTCGCTTACCAGTTTTGTTTTGAGCATTTGGTTTGTTGTTGCAGTTGGACCTTAGAATGTTTTTTTTCAAAATGTTGAGCTAGAGGTCAGTAGATGTTCATGTTAGTTTTTGCACTGCCACCAAATCTGGTTGGGTTTGAGAGAAGAAGGAGAAGGGACTTGGGGTTTTTGACATTTTCCCTGTTTGTTTCGTATTCATTATGCTTAAGCCACCAGTTCTATTTTTTCCCAAATGGGTAGATACATGTTCTGGTTTGCAGTCTAAATTCATTAGACTGGTTTGACCAAGATGGATAATGCTGTTTTCCTGATTTTCTGGTTGAGTCTTAGTAGATGTTCAGGTCGCCTTGGCTGCATTTGTGACTGGAAATTATTGGAGTTCTGAAGCTTCATGAGTTTATTTCTCTTGCTGTGACCTGCTTTCCTCTGGTGTTTGGGTTGTGTTGTCCATCGTAACTATCTACATTAAAGGAAAAAACTCCGGCCGCGTTAAATGAAGTTTCAACTGGATTCCTTTGCTGTTTTCTTTTTTCTTCCGTAACAGCTCACAAAACTGGTTTTAGTCTTCTTTTGCTAGCTTACTTTGGTGTTGAAGGAATGAAATGGAAGGCTTGGTGTTAATATTTGTGTGTTTGGGTTCAAGAAGAGCTTGCAACATGTCTAAACATTGCTGGAAATGTATAGAGCAGGAATGCCGAACCATGCTGCATTGAATTCTCCAGTATTTGCATGATTTTTCCCTCTATGTTTTGGTTTGTTTGAATGTCAAGATTGTGTTACATGTTGCTTAGATAGGGTTTTGGATGTTTGGTTGAAAAGTTTTGATCAAAAGATTACTTGAAGTGGAAATCAATGTGTGAAAATGCAAGTTGTGCTGATGTTTTTTCGGCTGCAGAAAGCTTGAATCAGAAATATTGCTGGTTGCAAATCATATATCGTAGCTGCATGTTTTGCATGAAATTAACTTCTGAAAATCACACTTTAACCTTTCAAGTTTCCCATAATGTTAATTTGGCCCGAGTATTTGAAAAAGCTAATCAATTGGGTCCCTGTGATTTTTGCAGCAATGCATTATGGCCCAATTAGGTTCCATTTTCTTGCAATTAGGTCCTAAGGTGGGTGTATTTTGAGTCATCATTTGGCCTTTCATTGTTTTTGAGACTTTGAAGCTCTTAAATTTTTCAATTGGTTTTATTTGGTTGATTAATGAGTTGCTATCGAGTTTTCAAAGTGCATGTTTAAATCATTCATGGACCCTTGTTCATTCTTGGACCTTCGAATTTCCATAAATGTTTGCTTGGATCTTGTTATTTGCTTGGGGAACTTTTTGTGTTTTTAAATGTTTCAATTAGGTTCAAATGATTGAGTAGTGCTTGCTTTTGGGTCTTTAGTAGATGTTATGCTTGGGGATTGGATGATCATGCCTTGGCCTTGGTCTTTATGTAGTTTTGACTTCATTGAGTTGCAATTGAGGGAAAGTTTGATGTTTTGATGGGTTCAAATTGTTTAATTTATATCTTATCACTAAATTGGTGCATTAATCTTTTGTTTTTGGTGATTTTAGCCTAAGTTAGTCTTTTCTTGGATGATTCTAGCCAAGTTGAGTTTATTCATTTCGTTAATATCACCAACGGGGGGAAGGTATCATTTCTTTTATCCCTTTTTGTTTCTCTCCTATGTGGACTAATGTGCTAATTGAAATTTGCATGTCTACTTGCTTTCCTAGCCTCTCCTTATTTCCTTTCATTTATTCCATTTATTTTTTATTTTTATTAATGGGGTATGTGTACACCTCTTGGCTTGTAATAGATAGGGCGTAGTAAGTAATTTGGTCCATTTTCCCTTTCCCTTTTGTTTTAGTTAGCAAATGTAATGGTTGCATGCCTATGTGTTATATGTTAAATGCTTTATTAGGATTTTGCATCTAGTCAAGCATGCTAAGTGTTATGTGCTACGTGTTTATAAGTGATTCGCATGCCTACTCGCTCTTTATAGTGTGGATGTATGAAATGGATGAATGTACGTCACCACACTAGTCCAACGCTAGTTGTGGCTTCTTTTATCGTTTCCACTAGTCCAACGCTAGTCGGATGTCATAGAAAGGGCTAGTCCAATGCTAGGCCCAATAGGTTCTTTTTCCCTTTTTTTTCATTAAGTGCATGATCACCACATATCACGCATTTTTCCTTAGTTTATCACTTGGTATGTTTTAAGCAAGTTTCAGCGACTTTATGTCCCGTTCCCCCAACCCAAAAAGCAAATGTTTCCTTCCGTTTCCTTTTCTATGAAAACACAAACCAGCTAAATGTAGTCATATGTTGTTCAAGTCTGTTATCTAGTGCCAACCTATCCTTGTTATTCTTATCCATTTACAGGCTCGTTTGAAAAACTTTATAATTTCCATATGCAACAAACCAAACTATTAAACAATCAGCTTTTGCTTTTTCCCCTCTCAAACTTCCCTGCTAAACCATAAGATTTTCCATGAAGTTGACTTTCTACAAGTTCAGGTTCTTTGGCAGCATTTAACGCCAATACTACTAATCTCGTTAAGTATTCCATCCAATAGGTAGGAAGTTGCACTACATGAACGTTGCACGTACATATCACAGTAATCATAAACTTTGCCAATCAAACAAGGTTCCTGAAGATACAAGATTACGTTCAGGTATTTGGCTAAAGATGAGAAAGTGACCTTAAAATCAACTACCTCGGTTATCTTTTCCAGCTTTATGTCTGCCATGAACTATAATATTATCAATGCATAGCCCAAAGAAAATTTTCAATGCATATGAGTGAAATAAATTATATTAACATTTAATAATCTGGCCACCTCAACTGGCTCAACCAGGAACCAACTCAATCAGATCTCGCTGTCCATTGACCATCCCACAACTGCATAATAATCATAGGAACCGCTCAACCTGGGTGACCTGGCCACTCTTCTGTCTTAACAATCGATCTGGAGGATTCCTCAGATACAGTCAAATCCTAATCAATTTTGAAACTTTGGCACAAGCAAGCTTAAACTCATGGTATTAAAACATCAAGCTTGAATAGGCTATTCCTCTTGATGCTCATGAGGACACTTCTATTACAGGTACCTATTCACTTCTTTGACACAAAAAATCCAATATCAGGAAAAAAAAAGGAAAGAAAACCTTAAAGCACCAAACTTTCTCAAGAAACAAAGTAATGTCTACACAACTGGCCGATCCTTTAACTGGGAGAAGCTCATTTAAATTTTTTTTCATTTTTCTTTTTTAACTTTCAAGAAGCTCGAGTGAGAGAAGTTCAAAAGTCATTGAAGGAAGCAGTGTGAGAGCAAAAGTGGAACTTCGAAAACATCCAAGCACGTACAAGAGTACATTGTAACAAACATAAACAGAATATGAATGAAAGGGACAAAACTTCATGTCCCTTGGCCTATTATATAGCTCCTTTGTGATATATTACTATGCAGCTTTTGTGTTAGATTAACAATCATGAAACAAAAAAGTGCTCATTTTGTTGGCTTTTATGCATGCGTCTTTTTAGTTGCTTTTTCTTCTCCTGTGAGCGATTGCATGCATAAAGCAGAGATTGCCAGAGGTGACTAAAAGCAGAAGTTACAATTTGAGAACTGTAGTCTTGCTTTCCCCTAACTTTTAGCATTAAGTATTTCAATCATCATACGGAATAGATAAATAATATGTAAATGTCACTCCATTTTTTCTATAATTGCACTGCACTCTATTTTTTTTCCCTTTTCTTTTCTGAGACCCAAATGCCCCTCATTCAGTACTCCTCCTTCGTCCAATATATTTACTAGCCATGAGCTATTCCTTAACCAGAGAGTCAGAGACCTTCATTCCTCTCCGTAGAAACGTACTTAATATGCCATATCTCTTCCATGACTGATCACAGGCCCTTTCGTCTATCTTCAACGATTTAACTTGATTTTCTCACCTATACATGTCCTTACCACACAACTCAGCTGATGAATTTTCACCTTGGGTTTGGAACATGTGGCAGCTCTTCTGAGTCACGATTTTTCACCATTCTTCACTGATTCACAATCAATTAACCTACGGCTCCAACCACTTGAAGGATATCATTTGCTTTAGTAGCATAAAGTGGGTTTGATCATTTTTTCTTGTAGGATTCAGATTTGGCTGATGGGTAAGATAGATTAGATGGTGCTAAAATCCATCTGGTGAAGTTCTCTAACTAGATATTAGACATAAACACATGAAAGCATAGGTAATTCAGACTTGCAATCTGTTGAAACACGTCATTAAGGGAGATAAATGAACAGTTATCGTTAACTGTTGAACAAAGGTTGTCATCAGGAAACCTACATGCAAGAAGGAACAAGCACATCTGAAAATTAGTATTCCTCCTTGTAATGATTGCCACTAGGAAGAGCACAGCATGGAAAGCAACTAGGCATATCAACCATGGCTCCTGCAGAGAGATACACACACACAAATGTCAATCAATCAGGATATCATACATACAGCAATGAAATTATCTTAGATCCAACACATGTCAAACAAGGTGAAATGAAACAAGAAATTAAAGGAAAGAATATGGGAGATGAATATGGACATTGATTGGTTAGTAAAAATGAGCAGACACTCAAATCACTACCAATAACTAGACATTTTTTAAACCTGGTCAGCTAGCTTGAGTGGAGCAAACTAATATTTAAGGCCTACCAAAGCTCTTGTTGACTTTCCAGCTATAAGTAACAAAGGCAAAGATCCTTGACTCCTCTTTTTTCTTTCCCATGACTAACAATTTCATAACCTATAATTGGTGGAGCCAGACAAAATCCAAACAGGGGCACTTAAAGGAATGAATTTAACTCCAAAATAACATGAAGCCAAAAGACTGAAGCCTAGATATCCCATTGCCCTTGTGGACCAACTGATTATTAATAGACTAAAGCATGAAAAGTATTTTAATCATGCAGATGCAAATATATCTTACCATTACCTTATCAGTAAAACCGCCTTTAACATACTGACTCGACTTATAAAACATAATATATTGAATTAGAGGCGTTGTCCTAACCAGATTGACAACTAACAATTTTATTTTCCAATTTAAATTTCAAGTTATGCCTGAGTCTTTTATTCTGATAACGAAAGCCTTAACATCAGGTTGACTACATTGACTCAAGATCTTGATAAGAAGAAACCACTGCCACACTTTTAAATTTTTCATCATCAGAACAAAGATTGAAGAAGAGCAAGCAAGATCTCCCACCTGGTGAAAGGAAAAAAAAATGCAGAATTTAAATAATTCTATTTTGCACTATTTCACCAAATGAGAAACAACGAACAGTTAATTGTGCCTGAACTCAATGATGTAAATGATTGAAGCAGAAGAAAAAAACATTTAAATGCCTAAAACTTGCAGTCACTAGTGCGAAACCTAATATTTGGACTCAAACTCATTAAAGCGAGATCCAAGAGCACCAAATTGGTATCCATTCCCTTTTACTATTTCTCCTGGTTATTTTCACCTGTATTATTCCACACAAATTTCTCAAAGATACGTTGTTACACTGAATTAAAAAGCACTGATACCAATGCTCCTAATCAAAACATTTTCTTAAACCTAACAGCTGGAAAAACTCGAAGTCCTGATTTACTAGCCTGCCAACCGAGTCCAAAACATGGGCTATAATGAAACAGATTACAACCGAAAAAACACAGCAATGAATGAAAACCTATATATCCCATCAATAAGTAACACAGTATTGAATAATGTGATGAGGGAAAATATTAAAAGCAAAGACAAATCAATTAGCCCCGAAGACATTGTGTACTACAATCTGAAACAATCAACCCTTTTTAAAATTCAATGAAGATATTAAGAATGCCACCAAAAAAAAACACAGCGAAAAAAAATGAAAAATCCTCCTCTCGAAACGTCATACCAGTCCAACACTTAAGGAAAAAAAGGGCTAAACAAATACAAGGATTTGATGCCAAAAATTAAGAGAAAATTTGAAACAATGCAAGTTAGTACCCTCCAGTCAATGGCATGGAAGAATCCCATAAAGTTGTTATAGGCAGGAGTTAAACTGGAGCGCAATTCGCGGCGGTGAGTTTCTCAACCAGATCTGCCATTTGGTCCTTGTGGGCATTCAGTGCTGATGTTAGTTCTTCCATCTTCCGTTTATCTTTCTGGAGTCTCCGGTTGATCTTTCAACTCTTTCGTTCGTTGGAAAGACAAGTAGGGCTTTATTGTAGTATTTTCTGAGTGAAATTCTGGGGGTCTCAATTTCGAACCGTCTCTCTGTTTATTATTTTCCTTGTTTAACAGATTCGAGGAGGAGTTACTACTGAGGGTATTCTCGCTTTGTAATTTTTTTTTTCTTCTCCATCGGGTTATTTACAATCATTCCTTAAGTTATGTCTTAGTTTTCACTTTATTCCTAACATGTAATTTTTATTACCTCTTCATTATTGTGACTTTTCATTTATCCTTTTCCCCTCTTTTATTTCCTTTTCTCTTCTTTTCTTCTTCTCTCTTCCATCATTCCCAATAGAAAGATGTATGCTGGTAATTGCATTTCGAAAGTTTGTAATTGCATTTCTAGATGAATCTTTAAAAGGCATCAAATGCTAATTTCGATCTTTTGTAAGATGTCATGTGTCACAAATTGCAATTAATAATTATTAATCAGGTCACAAATTCATCTTGTGAATTTTCTTGAGAATCAAATGAGAAACTAAAATGAAAAGGGGAACAAACAAAAGAATTGAAAGGTTAGAAAAATATTTTGGGGAATTACTTTGAATATTTTGTAATCATTTGAGGAGAAGGTAAATCTCTACAATTCCTGTTTTTTAGTTTCAATCACTAAGATGAAGTTTCTTCTGAGAAAAAGTAGGGGTGCCAATCGGGTCATAAATGGGTTGGCAGATCGATTTGAGATCCAGGTATAACAAAGAACCTACTAACCCGAACATGACTCACCAACCCGCAAACGGTCAAGATACCTGACCTATACCTGAATTTTTTGGATTGTAGTTTTGCACTGAAGTTGATGGGTCAATTTTGGGTTGGCGGGTCAATTTCTGGTTAGCAGGTCAATTTCAGGTTGACCTGAATTTGAAATTTTCGGGTTGACCTAATACATAATTCCAATCTACTAATTTACCACTATAGTTTCTAATAGAACCAATTTCACACAAGGCTGATGTGAGGACCCGAAATTCTCTTTTACTGGCTTATTTATTTATTTATGGGTTAATATCAGAAACCTCCCTTAAGGTTTCTTCTAATCACACGTAGCACCCTTCATGTTTTCGAAATCACACTTAGCACCCCTGGAATGACAACTTTGGTATCATTGTCAACCCCTCATTATTTTTGTTCCACTTTTACCCTCCTTATGAACTCTATTTATGTAACTCACATCCCACCAACTTTGGTAACACTACAAAATCGTGCCTGAACAGTGTAACATGTTTGAACATTTTGTAATTTTATGTAAGTTTCTTGTACATCTTTATAATAGATTGCGTATCTGTTATTAAGTTTTACAAATAATTCACATAGAGTTACACATTGTTTAAAAAATGTTACATTGATCTGAACGGAGATAAAAAAAATCTGAATATGGATTCTCATAATGGCGACAATAGTTTCAATATGTGGTTGTAGTTGTAAATAAATTTACTCTTCCATTTTTGTGAAAATGAGGTAGTATAAATAGTTTTTTGTGCATCCTAGTTGAATGGAGTTTGTAAGTTATTAATATTGCGATACCCTATTGTCAAGTAAAAATGGCTTGCTAATGCTATATACTCATGAATTCCCATCATCCTTGAATTACTTTTAGATTGCGTTATTATTCACTTAGGAATTGCAAAAAGTTAACATCACTGGAAACTCCATGACTATTTAATATTAGGGAGTAGGATAGGAACAGTAGTTAGATCAACCATCCCTAAATAGTGTAACATTTTTTGAATATTTTGTAATTTTATGTAAATTTCTTGTACATCGTTACTATAGAAATGTGATAAGTGGTTAGTGTACATATGGGTCCAATATGTAATAATTGTATTTGTGTTGATAAGTTTTACAAATAGTTCAATTAGAGTTACACTTTGTATAAAAAATATTACATAATTACAGAATACTTTTACATAATTTAGGGAAAACCTCAAGGGAGGTTTCCGAAATTAACTCTACATAAATAGACTAATAGAGTTCACAAGGAAGGTAAAAGTGGAACAAAAATAATGAGGGATTGACAATGATACCAAAGTTGTCATTCTAGGGATCCCAAGTGTGATTTTGAAAATATGAGGGGTGCTAGGTGTGATTAGAAGAAACCTCAAGGGAGGTTTCTGATATTAATCCTTTATTTATTTATTCATTTGCTCCAATTAATTTATTTTATTCATTTTAATTGCATCCGCTTGGTACATATGAGAACTCAGGAAATTTATGTGTACACTTCGAATTTATTTCATTACATTTAATCTGTTATTAGAAATATTATATGTAACGAATGAATGGTTAAATTAAATGCATAATGGAATTCCTATAAAATTGAAAATTTAGGAAAAAAATAATAAAAATAAAATATAAAACAAAATAATGATAAAGATAAATATATATAATAATAAACAGAATAATAGAATGGTGTAGAAAATTTTAGGAATCAAATAAATATATGATAGGCATATTGCAAATTGTGTCATGTGAATTTATTATATAGTTGAATAAGTACATGTCTAATAAATTTTTCTTATAGTTAAATGTGTGAAAATCTACTAGATCAATGTAAGAAAATTTTCTAACGAAATACAAATAAAGTTAGGAGTTAATGTATGAAATAATAAAATTATAGCCTTAGTAAGCAAATAAACTAAAGCTCACAGGACCAATTTAACCTTAAATGTTAGACAATTCACCATGCAGCCTAAGGAAGTAATATTTTGGACAATCGAGTGAGACTTAGGCAAAACAATTGCCAAAATAATTGGGTGGTGATCAAAGAGGAATCAAAGGAAGGCTGCTGCCAATAAGCTGCTAAGTCCACGCAGCAACTAGTGGAGCAAATAGAGGCTGATTCATAAGCTGGGTAGTGACTGAAAGAGAGGCTAAGAGAAATCAATTGTTACGACAGTTAGGCGATCCACTAACTTCTAGGGTACACCCTAGAAGGGATACGGGGCAGGAGACGACCGCTCTTGAACGGTCTCCTCATAATAAAAAACGTGAGGAGACAAATGAGCCAAGTCAGCAAGGCTGAAGTAGGGCAGAAAAATGGCACCGTTCCAAATAAAAAAAATGTTGACTTCCAAACGTGAGCAGACGGAGCAAACGGAAGAGAATTAGATTTTGAAATTCAAGTTGAAATTTTGAATTAGCCGCAGAAAACAAAACTGAGGGAAGAGTCTTGGCGTGCTTCTGAAGGAGCTCTACTCTGACAGTCTGACCGACCGCTCACGGAAGGTAGAAAGCTGAAGTTCGAGTGGAATTCGACCTACTAGCTCTTTTAGGTGAAGTGGGTGTAGTCTACTCTGATGAAAATAGCAATTGACAGAAAAGTGGGTGGAGAGGCAGGCAGCAAGGTAGAAGCAAACAGAGATAAAGCCAAAGTTTGGATGGAAAACTGAATAGCAGAAGCAGCTGTGGTCTTCAACTGGGTATAAGAGTATTGTATCTATTTTGAATGCGCGCAAGGCAGGCGGTAAGGTAGAAGCAAACAGAGGAAGGACAATATCTCACGAAGCCAGATTTGTCCTTCAACTTAATAGCAGAAGCAGCTACGCTCTCCGACTTCGGTGAATCGTGAAACCTATTAGCAGACCAAGGTAACATGACTGAACTATGTCAGTAACTGTGGCCAATAATTTGTCACCCAAATGCACATCTGTTAAATGAAGGATGAAATTAGAGTCACTGAAGATATAATATGAAGATGATAGAAGAATAGTGAAGTTGTACTATATTTGCATGTGTGTACCGTATCTGTGTGTGTGTGACCATTTAGTTTTTCAGTGATGGACTATAAAGGGATAGTAGTTTTTGGAAGACCTAGGGGTATGTATTCAAGTAAACGAAACGGAATTAGGAAAAGATGAGAGAAACAAAGTCACATTTAACAAGTGAATGAATGTACATCTTGTAAATTAGTTACATGTTATAGCCACCGTATTACAATTGATATGAATCATTATACTAGTAATTGGTCCATGCTCATGGAGTAATATTAGTTTGCCCCTCTCTTGACCGTGTAGTGTGTATAAATAGATGTGTAGAGTTGAATGAGGTGAAACTGAGGAAAAGACATGTATGTGAATAACAAATGGGTGAACCTTGTATTATAAGTAAATTACATGATGTAAAAAATATATTACAATGAGTAAAATGATTGTTTGGCCCTCAAAATGTAGAAATAGTAGAAAATGTGGAGTTGGCTTATGCGGTTGTCATTAACGAATGACATAAGGTCCAGTGAACTAAAGAATCTAGAATCAAAATATAATCACCACGTGGATGTACATACAGTTAAAATAGACTTACATCGTGTGACCAATACATTACAATCCGTATAAGTTAGTGTACATGGAGTTGTATTTGTACACAGATTGTCTTAGAGTAAAAGTAAGGTGATGTGAATCATTAATCATATTGATAGTGTAATAATAGAATTTGGTATATGAGTAATGTATAATTCATAACACATTATGAATGGTAATATACTTTATGTACATACATTCATGAAGTGTTGCAAATTAGGGTGTTTAATGCATAATTGGCAGGATCAGAAGTAATGGATTGCAGCAAATTGGCAGAAGATGGGACCCCTGAGTTAGGAATGGAGTTCAACAGCGAAGAGGATGCATACAAGTTTTACAACAAATATGCCTTTAAAATGGGTTTTAGTGTACGTAAATACTATCTGAATAAAACAAAGACGGCGTGACCACATCTAGGAGATATAGTTGCTGCAAGGAAGGTGTGAAGCGCAAGTACAAAGGTGATGTGATGCCAAAGAGGACACGAGCGCCGATGAAAACAGGGTGTGGAGCTAAAATGGTTATCGTGTTGTTTAGAGGAACAATGAAGTATCGTGTGCATGACCTTGTCTTAGAGCATAACCATGAGTTGCACATTGCTCAATGTACGCACATGATGCCATCACAAAGAAAAGTGAGCGAGGCTTAAGGATTTCAAGCTGAAATAAGCGAGGACGCTGGCTTTCATTGAAACAGAGCCATGAGCTTATGGGAAAGGAGGCAGGTGGGATGGGAAATGTGGGATATACTCGGGAAGAACTGAAACGATATCTTCGTACTCGACGGGAAAGGAGTTTGAAATATGGAGAAGGCAGGAATATTAAAGCAAACACTCGAAAATCCATCGTTTTTTCATGCCGTACAAACTGGACTGTGAAGAGCAGATAACGATATCTTTTGGGCTGATGCAGGAATGTTAATTGACTACAAATTTTTTGGAGACGTAATTACATTCGACACAACCTACAAAACAAATAAAGAATACCGGCCACTTGGAGTGTTTGTGGGTTTTTAACCAACATAGGCAAATTGTGATATTTGGTGTTGCCCTTATGTATGATGAGACTATAGATTCTTTCAAATGCGTGTTTGGTACATTTCTAGAACCAATGTGCGGAAAGCGTCCAAGTACCATACTAACCGACCAAGATCTTGCCATGGCAGCCGCTCTTTCAGTTGTTATGCCTAAAACATTTCACGGTCTATGTACGTTTCACATAAAGCGTAATTTTATGAAACATCTTGGCAATCACTACAAGGAAAATAGTGATCTTCCATACATGTTTGGTGCATGCATGTATGAGTTTGAAGAAGTGGAACAATTCAATAGGGTGTGGGAGACGATGGTGAAGAAACACAATCTTGAAAATAATGAATGGCTCTCCGGGTTGTATAGAATTCGTGATAAATGGGCAACGTGCATGATGAAAGAAAGATGGACCGCGGGAATGCGAAGCACCCAACTTAGCGAAAGCCTAAATACAACAACAAAAAATCATTTGAAACTGGATCATGACCTTGTGCAGTTCTTTAGACATTTCAATCGGGTGGTTGATGAAAAGAGACATAATGAACTGATCGCAGAATATGAAATGAGGCAAAAGCTCCCCATGGTCGGGTTAAGGCAAACACCTATGCTTGTGCATGCATCAGAGACGTATTCACCAACCGTATTTGTTGCATTCCAAAATGAATATGGTGAGTCAACAGCTATGGTTATATTGAGACAACAAGATGCAGCGATAATTGTGGAGTTTGCGGTCATGAGGTATGATGGAGGACCTGAAAGAATAGTGGTATTCAATCGGAATGATCTAAGTGTACGTTGTAGTTGCAAAAAATACGAGAATGAAGGCATTTTATGTGGGCACGCGTTGAAGGTGTTTGATACTGTGGGCATAAAAATAATTCCTCCTGAATACATTAAGAGGCGATGGACAAAAAGAGCTCGGGCTAGAGACTGTTTTGATCGGTGAAGACAGGAAGTTGTGACTGATCCTAAAATAATGATTTCAACTCGTTATCGGGAGCTCGCTCCAACCATTGTGAGAACCCGTAATTTTCCCATTTTCTAGGTTTTATTATCTTTCATGGCTTGTTTTCTGCATTTTCGTGATTAGAAAAAATTCTAGATAATTTTTATGAGTAAATATAGTTTTTAGATGATTTTTCTAGTATCGAATAGTTTTTGAGAAATTATGAGCGTATACCGGACGTGGGACCCACTAGGGCGAAAAGTTCGAAAAAATTCGGCCAACTAGGTTAAGTTTTGGATATTGGATTTAAATTATCGGGTGCTAAGAGATAATTAGAGATTGCTGGTTGGATTGTTGTGAGAGAAAACAAAGAGATAGAGAGATGCATTAATTATAGTGACAAGTGTCACCAAATGATTAGTGGTACTTTATGACTACTATTCATTGTCTTACCAATTGACCAAATAAATCCAAAAATTTACCAAAAATTCACTATTTTCTCTTCATCTTGGCCGGCCAACTTCAAGAAAAAAGAAAGAAAACTCTCCAAGTTCTTGCTTCCATTTAGCTCAAATCCATCAAAACAACCACTTAAACTTGCTTTTGTTCCATAAAACCTCTTCACTTAGTGTTGGTAAGGTGATTGGTGAAGTTGTTTGGAAAGCTAAGGTGACTAGTTGCTCTCTCTCTTGTGTTGCTAAGGTGAGTTGTGAAGAACCCCTCTCCTCCCTCTAATGAAACTTAATTCATGATTAGTGGTAGTATAAGATGCAATTTTATGGATTATATCTTGATTTTTGGTTGAATTGGTGAAGTCTTATACTTATTGGTGATTTTTCTGTTTTCATATGAATATGATTATGTGGTCATGTATGATGATTGGAAATGGTATTTAAGGAATATAGAAGGTGGAAAAAGTGGTTAATTGCAAGCAATTTCTGTTTTGGAAGAAATTTGGAAAGTTAGGGTTTTATGATTGTACATTCTGCCTGGCACAGTAGCTCATAGTTAGAGGCTGAATTGACCTTGGGTTAAAACATGAAAGTTGTAGGGAATGATATTTTAGAGATGCCTACAAAATTTCAGGTCAATCGGAGTAGTGTAACTTGTGAAAAGATGGAATTACCCTTGCTGTCCTGTTTCTACCCGAACTTGAGAACTGCGACTGTAATTGGTTAATTTGGTTGGGAATGTTTCAGAATTGGTTGTTGAGGTCTTCTGATGAAATGTATCCCTGTATCTTAGCTTTCGGATGGCTTTGGAATTACTGGATTTGGACATAGGTAGCCTGATTTAGGATGTTTGCACCAGAATGCATTTTGTGAACCTGTTTTTCCGGTTCTGGTGTAGTATATTGCATTTTTGACCTGGTTACACTCGAAACTGGGAAGAGTGACCTTCTTCAACACTGTAACCCTATCTCTTAGCTTCGAAACGGTGGGTCCTGTACCTTCATCTAATAATCGTAGTGCTTTTGGTACCAAAACCATAAAATGATGTCAAAAACTATTTTTTTTGGGTTAACACTTAACCCCATTTCCGGATTTTTCTGGTTTCCTCTAATGCTTATGTATGCTTATGGAACCCTATTTTGGTAGTATTTGGCATTGGTTTATGACTCGTTATCGAGTCTCATTGTACTTGTTTGCATGTTTTAGGGCGTGACGGTGGTTTATGACGCTCCTTTAACGGAGGTGTATGAAATATCATTTTCAAGCTTGGTGAGTGTACTACTCACATGTGTGTTACTATATGGTTTTAATACTTGAACTTGATGCGTTGAATGTTTACTGCACCATCGATATTGATTGAAGTGAGGGTGTACTTTATCACTCTTACTTATATGCCTTATATCATCGTTTATCATGTTATTGGAATGTTACATGGAATGTTACATGAAATGAAAGTACTTGACTTGGTATCGTTTGGACGAGTATCCAACGACCATGATTGTTACCATTGATTTCAACCCCATTGGTAGTTGATTGAATCGAGCCGGCGAGGGTTTGGTCGTGCCAATTAATGAGTCTTGGGGATTGTTATATGGAATCTTGTAGTATGAGAGACTCTCGATTCCGGTATACTCGAGTAATACCACATTGCAAGTGTTTGGAGTTCGGGCCCGGTAGGTGAATGTTAGGTGGACGGAATGGAAGTAAAGTGGAGCCTACGGTTGGTTACTCTTAAACATTGATGGAGGGTCAATGAAGTCCGATCAAGTATACAAACGAGGAAAGGGGCTCTTGAGAGCCGTCCGTATCTTTTTATCAATTTATTGAAATATGATCATGGCTTACTTTCTTGTGGAATGCAAATCTCATGCTTATATGAACTTGGTTGCTTGAGTGGTATTATCTCACTGGGCGTAAGCTCACCCTATTCCTTTTGTTTTCCTTACAGGAAATAAACACTTTCGGAATGACTTTTGATAGTTGGTTGCCGAATTGAGCTAGTTGGACATATCTTTTGTATAGCTCCTTGATTGAAACCCTAAATGTACTTTTGGGTCCGTTTCTCTTTTGATTTGGCAAACCGTACATGTATCCACTTTGGAATAATTTTTGTATGCCACTTTGGATTGTATATGCTTAATTTCAACATGTAAATATTTGCTTGATGTTCGATTGGATTTTGACGTGTCGGTTACTATTCATGGCCAACTCTGGTTTCATTTTTTTTATTTGGACATTGTGACTCGTTTACGCGCGTTAGTATGTTCCGACACATCGTAAATCGATGTGAACTGAACCGTTAGTCCTTGGGAGAGCTGGGTAGGCAGTCCGCTAACCCCTTTGGTTCGCCTTAGGGGAAGGTGAGGCTGTCACATGTGGTATCAGAGCCTAGGTTTGAATTAGTTTGGATGTATTAGAAATGCTTGATTTGAGGATTCTTTTGATTACGTCCTTTAAGATTATTTATGCTTATTTACTCTTTTGGTGTAGGATGGACGGTCATGGTGAGCCTAGTAGTCCCCCGGCTGGAGAGCGACCTCGTGGAGCGCTCCCAGTGACCCCATACCAGATTCGGCCAGGAGGGGCCGTTGTTCGTTGGAGCCTGGCTAACCGCCTCTCACTTTGCGAGTGTCGACACACGTATGCCTATCCTAACGCATTAGTATTGGCCGTGGCGGAGGAGCGTAAGGAATTAGCTCGAGATAACGCTAGGTTGGAGGCCGAGGTGACCCAGTTTAGGGCGGCCAATGAGAAACAAGCCGAGCACATTAAGGGGTTGGAGTACGATGTACTTGAGATTGAGAATCGGGTGGATGACCTGTGCACTCATCTTAGGGAAACCCGTGAGCGCGAGACTAAGCGAGCGCGAAAGGTTAAGGTTCGAGCTGCCTCGATCTTGAACCTATGCGCGGACATGGTCGAGGGCGTGAGTGACGAGAATTCATGTGCGGGGCCTGAGGCTGGGGTTGGATCCACCCCGTCGGGTGGATCTACTAGCCCGTCGACGGACTAGGTCTCGACTCCTAGGGTTTTGGGATAGTTTTGTTTCTTGTATATAGGGATAGGGAAAGAGCCTTAGCTAATCGTTTTGTACGTTGGATTAGCTACGTGTATATTTCTTTTGATGAGGCCATTCCCTTGTGATTGTCCATGTTTGTACTTGACTTGACTGTACGTGACTTGACTGGTTGTTGATATGTGTGTTGTTTGCCTTGTTTGGAATGTATATATATGTTTGTAAAAGTTTTGGGATTTTATTTACATGTATGGTCATTTTATTGTTCTAGTATGTTTGTCTAGATCAAATAGATTTGATGGAAGGCACACGTAGTGGACAGGGGCGTGGAAGCGGGAATATGCAACCTATGCCAGACCGGGGTGCTGGAAAAACCTCCTCTGGACCTAATCCTGAACCGAGAGTTGACCCCAACGTGCAGATCACTGCCGCTATGCAGCAAATGACCAACCTGCTAGCACAAATGGTGCAGCAACAAGGCCAAAACCCAAACCCTAATCCTGGAAACCGGGCGGGCAACCATGTTGAAAGTGACGATAGGCACTTGAGCGGTTCCAAAAGTTCGCACCACCGAAGTTTATTGGGGGACCCGATCCGGATGTCGCCGAAAGGTGGCTTGAGAAGATGATAGACATTTTTGCTGCCCTGCACTATACTGAAGAACGGCAGGTGACTTTTGCCGTTTTCCAACTGGAAGGGGCGGCCCGTTCCTGGTGGAATGTCATTCGGAAAAAATGGGAACGGGAACAAATGTCTAGGACTTGGGTAAATTTATGAGAGAGTTTAACGCGAAATTTTTCCCCCTCTAGTTCAGGAGAGGAAGGAAGATGAGTTTATTCGACTCCGCCAAGGGGCTCAGTCTGTAGCGGAGTATGAAAGCCAGTTCACGCGCGCTTATCTAAGTTTGCCCTGAGTTAATTGTGACGGAACAACGGCGGATCAGGCTTTTATTCAGGGCCTGAATGTGAAAATTCAGAAGTACCTCGCGGTGGCCCAGATTAACGCTTTTAGCGAGGCCGTTGAGAAAGCCCAACGAGTAGAGAGCGCCAGGGTCCAAGTACGAAACTTCCAGGCGAAGAAGCGGGGTTTTCCTGAAGCAACTCTGGGCAAGGGGATAAAGATACCTCCTCCAAGTTCGGACGAGGAGTTGGAGGTGGACGACAGTCGGGTTCCGACAAGGGGCTCAGTCCAGGGGTGGCTCAGCCGGAAGAGGCGAAGGCGGAAACTTCCAGAAGGGTTCCGGTTCGGCGTTCCGTGGGCCTTGTGGGTACTGCGGAAAGCCGAATCACTCCAAAGATAATTGCTGGAAGAAAGGGGGTAAATGTCTGCGTTGTGGAAGCGCAGACCACAAGCTTGCTACCTGTCCACTCTTAAAGCAAGACGGAAAGGAAGCTCAAACCGCTCCAAAGATCAATATGGGACCAGTTAAGGGAGATGGGACGAAACCCAAGGTGCCAGCTCGAGTATATTCGTAGAACTCGACAAGTCCCAGATTCCTCAGAGGTTGTAGAAGATACATCCCTATTTTCACC